ACATAAGTTCAGTCTAATTATTTATTACAAAGCTAATTAGACATGGATTATGGCCCATTTGTGAATTAGGCCAAAATCTGTCTGAAATGTCTTCTTTAGCTTTCAATGAAGAATGATGAATCAATCTCCTCTACAAATCTGCCCATGTATGCTGAAATAGCTTCCTTGAGCTTCTTTGATCTTGCTCGAGTGATTGGTCCTTGAGGAAGTGTCAATTTATCCTTCTTCTTGTCTTGTTTAGATTGTGCTGCCTTGATCATGCTCATCTCCCCTTGCATCAAGTTTAGGCTTCCTCTTTTGCAAAAATCCTTTTTTCCTTAAGTGTATCCAAACCTAATCTTCAAGTTCAAAGATCATTTCTTTTCACCCTTTATTTGCTCTTTATGCATACAGCCTATTCTTTTGCTCAATCTGCTCACGTGCTTTATAGTGAATAGCTTTAGCCTTTTTTGCCTTCGCTTCGCCATCTAAGTTAGTAATCTTATTCAATTGTAAAGACAACAATTCCAACACAGTTAAAGGATTAAAACTGTAAAGAATCTCAAAAGGTGAATAACCTGTAGAAGAGTGTACTGCCCTATTATATACAAACTCAACAAATGGCAAACAATCTTCCCAAGTTTTCAAATTTGTACCAACCCAAGTTTTCAAATTTGTACCAACAATAGCACGCAACATAGTTCCTAAAGTCCTATTAACCACTTTAGTTTTGCCATCTGTTTATGGATGACAAGGAGTAGAACACAAAATTTTAGTACCCAATTTTCCCCACAGAACACGCAAAAAATGACATAGAAACTTAGCATCACGATTAGAAACAATGGTTCTAGGTACACAATGCAAACGTACAACATTACGAAAGAATAAGTCAGCAACATATGTTGCATCATCAGTTTTATGGCATGTAATGAAATGAGCCATTTTACGAAATCTATCCACTGCAAGAAAAATGCTATCTCTACCTTTCCTTGTCCTAGGCAATTCTAACATAAAATCCATGGAAATATAAGTTCAAGGTTTAGTAGGCAAAGGCAAAGGTGTATACAAACCATGAGGCATAGTTTTAGATTTTGCATGCTTACAAACCATGAGGCATAGTTTTAGATTTTGCATGCTTACAACCAATACATGCAGAATAAACTTTTTCAATAAGTTTTCACATGTTAGGCCAATAATAGTGTTCATGCTGCATATCCAAAGTCTTTTGCACACCAAAATGCCACATCAGACCCCCCACTATGTGATTCCCTAACGAGCATCTCACGTATAGAACATATTGAAATACAAAGTTGTTTACCTTTAAAAAGATATTCATCATGCCTATAAATTTTATTAAAAGCTTCATTTTTACATGCTCTATACACCTCCCCAAAATCAGTATCATCAACATACATTTCCTTTAAATGCTCAAAACCAAGTAATTTAGAACTAAGCAATGAAATTATTGCATATCTCCTAGAAAGTGCATCAGCAACCACATTTTCTTTTCCTTGAATTTAGAACTAAGCAATGAAATTATTGCATATCTCCTAGAAAGTGCATCAGCAACCACATTTTCTTTTCCTTGCTTGTATTTACTCACATATGGAAAAAGTTCTAAATATTCCATCCACTTACCATGCTTTTTGTTCAACTTAACCTGTCCTTTCAAGTACCTAAGCGATTGATGATTACTATGAATCACGAACTCTTTTGGTAGAAAGTAATGTTCCCACACCTCAAGAGCTCTTAACAAGGCATAAAACTCCCTATCATAAGTGGATAATTCAGGTTTCCTCCGCTCAGCTTCTCATTGAAGCATGCTATGGGACGTCCTCCCTGCATCAAAACAGCACCAATACTATCCTGGAAGCATCACACACTCTACCTTTTACCACTCTTGTTTTATTTCTCATGATTGCACTTCAGAACTAGCCTTAACACAAAGCACACACCAAAAGCAATTGATAAGAAAATAATGATATCCTAACAAGAATGAAAAGTTCAACTCTAGAGGCAAAGGGTCAAGATGAATAAAAAAAATAGAAAATAGCACACCAAAAGTAGAAAACGTGTACTATAGATTAATTTTAAGCTTAACAAGATGCAAAATGTGGAATTTAGTGTCAAGGAACCAAAAATAGCAAGTAACTTTAAAATCAGATAACTGAGAGGGAAATAAAGCAATGACAAGATGGATGCGCTAAAATGCAAAGTTTAATCAAATCCTAATGATAAGACTAAACTCATGTTATGTATGACATAAAAGAACAATTCAACACAAGTAATAAGGAAAATTAACCCAAATTGCCTAGAAATCAACTAAGATGTATTTATTTGTAGTGTAAGCCCAATTTATGTTAAAAAGCCCCAAAAGTATCCCTAAAGGTAATTCAGCCTATATTAAGTCAAATAGGTTTCAGCCCACTTAATTTAGCAAATAACACAACCAAACAGCCCTTAAACAATGGTTTTTTTCCCTTTATAGTATAGGGTTCTTGCAAAAGCTTCATATGTAACTGTCTTTGAATTTTTTCTAATTTTTTTGTTTTTTATATAGTAATCACGAAATCAGAAGCTGAAAAACATGAACTAAATTAAACTAATTGAAGAAGAACCCAATTCGAATTTGGACAGAAACTCAATTCATCCAACAAGAATAAAGCAATTAAAAGGACTGAAATTAATAAAATGAAATTAAGAACAAGATAAATAAGAATTTACCTTAGTATATGCTCTGATACTAATTGCAGCAGAACCCCAGGTTTATAGTCAAACCGAAACCCTAGCACACAAATCAGAATTGAACATACACCAATAATAAATCCCAAAACAATAATGTATGAAAATGCCAATCATAAGTTGATTTAAAATAATAAGAACAACAATCACACAAGTATGTCCTTTATGAAAGCAATTCTTAATGCAAAAGTAAGAACAAAACTCATGAACTCACTTTGGAAATTCTTAATGCAAAAGTAAGAACAAAACTCATGAACTCACTTTGGAAGAAATTGGCCAAGCCAATAGACTACTCTCAATCTGATTGATTATGAATGATCTACTTTACAATGAGAATAAGAAGGCTTTATATAGCCTTGGACAGCTCCTTAGATTTTCCAAGCTAAAAGGAAACTAATAACCAATGCAAACAAACCCTAAACCCAATAAGAGAAAGCAAAACACATTTTTTACTTAAGCCCATTATAAAGAAAGTCAAAAATAGTAAATTAACCCATTCTAGCCCAAAAAGAAGTCCTAAACATTTAACCCAAACTAATGGCTGCCCAATTACATAAGTTAAGCCTAATTATTTATTACAAAGTTAATTAGACATGGATTATGACCTATTTATGAATTAGGCCTAAATCCACTTGAAATATCTTCTTTAGCTGTTAATGAAGAATGATTGTCAATCTTCTCTACAAATCTGCCCATGACTGCTTGAATAGCTTCCTTGAGCATCTTTGATCTTGCTCAAGTGATTGGTCCTTGAGGAAGTGTCAATTCATCCTTCTTCTTATCAGGTTTAGATTGTGATGTCTTGATCATGCTCATATCGTTAGGCCATATGTCTTCTCCATTCAAAGGGACAAGACCATGTTTGTATGTCTTAATGTAATAATCTTTCTTTAAGTAATCATCCACATAATCCAACACTTCATATCTCATGTAGTGAATGCATTAAATGGCATGACTGCAAGGGAGTCTAAACAGTTGCCATGATCTACAAGAGCAATCCTTTGAGAGAGGGATACCACAAAGGAATTTCCACCATCTTTGAATTGGAAGGTATCACCATCAGAAGGACTTGGCAAACATTATGAAGTGAACATTTTGTTACTTTCTTTTTTTTTTTTTTCCTTATTCTTCCTCCAACCCCTTCTTCCCATTTCTCCACTTGTGTCTCCTTGAAATAGTTTCTTATCATTAAGGATGTTCTTATTTTTTCAAACATCATGATCAAATGCATAGTTCTTGCTTTAGCCATGTATCCATTGAAGGTCTCTGCAATGTTGTTTGTAACATCATCCACTTTGGGAAAAGTGGATAAAAATGCTTTATCTTTAAAAAATTATCAGCTGCTTCTGCATCAAGCTCCTTCAATTCTGAGTTTTTTTATCAAATGCAGCCTCCTAAGTAGAATGCACAATTGCCCAAAAACATTGCTTGTACCCTTCTCCTCTATGCATTTTTTTCCAGTTGTCATGGATGTGGACTGCACAGTTGCATAAGGAACAAGCTCTTTAATGGCATTCTCCATACCCTTGTCAAACAAAAGAGAACATAAGCTCAAACATTTTAAGTAAAATGAACACAAAATTTGAATAAACGAAACTAATGTTACAGAATTTTACCTTATGTTGGTCACTCACAATGGTGAGTCGACCACCGTTTGTAACTCCTAGGTCCTCAAATAGCAAATTTAGAAACCAAGTCCAACTAGCCTCCTCTCTTTCCACAACAACTCATGCAGCTGGATCCATTTGATTATTGGCATCTTTACCAATTACACTAAAGCTGGATCCATTTGATTATTGGCATCTTTACCAATTACACTAAGTAATTATCCTCCGAGCATTGTTTTTTAAAAAAAAAACCATCAATAAATATACATGGTCTACAAGCCTCTTTGTAGCCTTTTCTCAAAGCCGAGAATTCAATGTATAACCTTTGAAACACATTTGGGCCCCTACTTCCATTCTCTTCACATTGCAAAATAAATGTCCCCTCCTTGTTAACTCTTCTTAGCTATGCTATGTAAGACCTCAATTTCCAGTAATGTGCCTCTAGAGACCCTGTTATCTTTGCCATAGCTTTAGCCCTTGCTCTATAACACAGTTGCCTATTAACTGTAACAACATACTTTTCATTCATGTCTGCTATCATCTTATTTGTACCATAAGAAGGATCTCTTCTTATTTGCCCTAAGAATTCTCTTGCAAGAAACTCAGAATTTTCTTGTCAATTTGTCAGTGACATAAAACACTTGTGTTCTTCTTGATATGTCCTGATTACCCATGACTTGTCCTTTCCTCGGGTTCTTGCATATAGTCTCCAAGGACAAGATCCAAAGCATCTATAATCAACCTTATGTCCTGGTTCTTAATAGGAAGTTGCTCACGAATGGGGAGCGTTACAGGCTTCACCTTAGTGTTGATCCTTATTGTGCCATTTGTGCAGGTCACCTTAGTGTTGATCCTTATTGTGCCATTTGTGCAGGTCTGGTGGAGGACGAGTTACATGTCCTACGTGATTGTTGCTTCGTGAAGTAGCTGTGGGTTAACCTTCAGGTTCTTAGTTCTGACCATTTCTTCAATGTGGCTGCTTCCCTCGAGGATTGGTTTACACAAATCTTTCTAGTAATGTTTTGCATGTCTCAGGGGTCCTTTGGAGCACGATCTTATTGTCTGTTGCTGGAAGATTTGGGAAAGGAGAAATAAATGGATTTTTGGTGATGAGCACATTTCCATTTATGGGACGTTACAAGATATTATGTCATTGGCTTCTGCTATTCATGAGCCAAATTGTATAGGTCTGAGTATGGTGGTCCCGCAGCATATTAAGGATTGGTGGCTGATTTTCTGGCAGCCACCTGTTCTTCCCTTTTGTAAGTTGAATACTGATGCTTTGTTCATTGGTTAGAGAGCTTATGGAGGTGGTCTGCTCCGAAACATGAAGGTAAATGGCTCGCATGTTTTTGTTTCTAATTTTGGTTCATGCTCGGTCCTCAACGCTGAGCTGTGGGCGATGCTAGAGGGCTTGTATCTGGCTAAGGGCCAGGGTGTATCTCATCTTCTTATTGAGTGTGATAACACAGTCGCAGTCCAGTTAGTTCAGGGCCAAACTCAGTCCTCTGGTGTTGTTCAAAAACTAGTGCTTCTGATTCAAAACATTCTCAACAGTGATTCGCAATGTCAGGTTGTTCATGTTTACAGGGAAGCCAACTGGTGTGCAGACTATTTGTCAAAGTTTGCAGGAAGTTTTTCTTTTGGGTCTCATTTTCTGCAAGATCCTCCACATGGGCTATGTCAATGGATTATGCATGATTCTATAGGGGTAGCCTATCCTAGGCTTTGTATCTCTACTTAGAGCTGTAGCTCTCCTTTTCAAAAAAAAAAAAACAAACTATAACAAATCAAAATATATATAATAGTCAAGAGAAGGAGAGAATTCAATTATAATAATTAATAAAAATTATATATTACATGCGTTTTACATAATCTTCATTTCCGCATAAGAACATAATATATGTCTTGACTTGAGAGGTTAAGTATCCATGGTTACGTAGAAGAAATCTTTTTTCTTTAAACTCAAAAGAGTCTAAAAAAATTAGGTCTAAATTCATTAAACAATCTATTTATATTAATCTAAAGAAATAAACTCATTGTAGAAGTATAAATAATTAATGACGATTAGGGTTTATTTCTTATATAAGTAAGAATACTTTCTTTAATTATTTTTACCAAATTTTTATATTTTTTTATTATTTATGCTTTAATTTTTCAAACAATAAAATTAAAATCTTTAACAATATTTTTATCATCTTTAAATTCAGTAGAGTATCTTAGTCACCTGACTTTTTCCTTTTCTATTCCTACTTTTATATATGTCATTATTATTATAGAGTAAAATTCCTAATTTAAATAAAAATAGAAACTTTTTTAATTAATATAATAAGAATATCTTAGTGAACAATTATTAAAATCATAATCTAAATCCTTATAAAATAATTTGTTAATTTCAATTAATTTGTAAATTTTAATTGAGAAGTTTTATAATAATTAAAAGTCTTGATTAAAATAAAAATTCCTAATCGAAATAAAAATTATACAAATTAATAGCAATAATTATATCAAACAAACCCATCATTATTAGTTGCTATTATTTCCTAATTTGAGATCCAAATAAGTGTACGAATTATTAGTTTTTATTTTGACTATTTAATTTTAATTTTATTAGTGAAGAATATGATTGGATTCACCCAAATCAATTATAAACTATTTTAATTATCAATTATTTCCACCCAAATCAATTATAAACTATTTTAATTATCAATAAACTATTTTAATTATCAATTATAAAAAAACTAATAATACATCTTTAAGGAAAGTATTTTCATCTAAATTATTAGTTTATTCAATTAAAGAATATATTCTTTTTATTTTTTTAACCAATAAAATCAAAATTCTTAAATATATTATATTCTTCATATCATATTTAACATATACCTTACATAATATATAATATAATTTCTTATTTTAGCCGATAGAATTTAAATTTAATTAGAAAATTAATATGGCCAATCAAAATTAGAATTTCTTTATTTTTTAACCAATCAAATTAAAGTTTTAATGACATTTTTGTTGATTTATAAACTTAGTAGAAGCGTTTGACGAAGCCAATGTTTCCTATTCAAATTTTTATATATACTATAGTCGATAGATTATAAATAAATGAATGATATAATAATTTTTTATAGTCAAAAGAAATAAATACTTTATAGTTAAAAACAATTAAAATTAAACAGATATGTATGATGATATGATAAAACAACTTCCTAATTTGAATAGGAATAATTTATAATATTAAAATAATAAAAATAAATTGGTTAATGTTATAATTAAAATGGGACTAAACTTCCTAAAAATAAAATTTAATTAGAATAGGAATTTCCACGTGGTGTTTAAAATTTATAACTAAAGAAACATAAATGGTGTTTAAATTTATAACTGAAGAATTGATACTAACTAAATAAATAAAGGTATTTTACCACAAATGTAAGTTTAAGAACAGAGGTTATTAAATGTATTTTTATGATAACTATTAGACAAAACAGAAGACACGTTAGAAAAGATACAAAATAGGTTAAATTATTTGAATATTTCTTCTTCTAGTATTAAGGTATTAAGTAAAGATAAACAATTTGAAAAAGATGAAGAAGACCCTGACATAGATATTAGTCAATTAAGAGGACAATTTAGTGAAAATTTTATTGTTCAAAAGATTCATAATGCACCATTACCCAAAACTAGAAATTTTTACCCTAGACCAAGACCTCCAGACATACAATATGAAGATAGATCTGCTATGACTCAGGCTCGATACGATGGAGAATCAATTAATGAATGGAATATAGATGGATTATCAGAATATCAAATTATAAATACTTTACAAGAAATGATTATGGCTTCATCCCAAATTATAAATACTTTACAAGAAATGATTATGGCTTCATCCGCCCATAAGTCTAAAGGTAATACAGATCCAGCTGTAGCTCATATATTAATCTCAGGATTTACTGGGCAGTTAAAAGGATGATGGGATAACTATCTTTCTTTCGAAGAAAGACAGAAAATACTAAATGCTACTAAAACTATAGTTAAACAAGAAGGTCAACAACAAATACATATGACTATACAAGACGCAGTTAATACACTAATTTTTACAATTACTAAAACCTTTATAGGTGAACCAGGAGAATATCAAGCTAGAGCCTCTGAACTGTTAACTAATTTGACTTGTCCAAAGTTACAAGATTTTAGATAGTATAAAGATGTATTTCTTTTAAAGGTATTTACTAGGCAAGATTGTAGTCATGCCTTTTGGAAAGAAAGATTTATCGGTGGATTACCTAAGTTATTTGCTAAAAAGGTACGCTCTAGAATACGAGGGATATACGGTGGATTTATCCCTTATGATACTCTCACTTATGGAGAAATTATTAACCATGTTAATAATGAAGGATTAGCCTTATGTACCGATCTTAAGTTAAAGGCAAAAATGAAGAATGAGTTCCATCAAAGTAGAAAAGAATTAGGCAGTTTCTGCTGCCAGTATGGATATGAAAGGTTACATCCTCCTTCTGCTAAAAATAAGAGGAAACCTAAGAAAAGTCCCTATAGGAAACCTTTTAGAACAAGAGCTTTTCGAGATCAACCTCTTAAAGATAATAAACCGTCTCCAATAGCTAAGAAGAATACAGTTAAAAAGAAAGGTAAAAGACAAATAGTGTGTTACAAGTGTGGAAATGTAGGACACTATAAGTCGCAATGCAAGATGAGAGAAAAAATAAATAATTTAGATGTATCAGATAAATTAAAACAGCAAATGATGAGTTTGCTTCTCACCGATACAGACACGGATTTAGAAATAAGTGATAACCCTGAAGATTTATATAAAGTAGAATCTAGTTATTCAGAAAATAGTTCAAATGATATAGACAACTGTGAATGCAATGGTCCCTGTATTTGTAAGATAAATAGTATAAATGTAGTTACTAGAGAAATAGATTTTCTTTTAGATTGTTGTTGACGCGTGTTTTTTATGCCCTGCCAGATTGTTGTTGACGCGTGTTTTTTATGCCCTGCCTGATCCGATGAGGACACAAGGATGAATGGGTTAATGCTATCTAGAAGCCTTTCAATCCAAGGATTTAAATAAAAAAAAAGGGGGGGGGAAATCAAAAGAAAATAAAATAAAAATAAAATGAATAAAATTAAATTAAAAAAAAAGAGAGCTGCGTGCTACAGTAGCCGCACTACAGTCTCCGCCTACAGTAGCCGTGCTACTGTAGCTGCGTTTCCTAACCTAGCTCTATAAATACATCTCTTTCTCACAATTTTAACACAACTTCACAACTCCACAAACAGCAAAAACCTAAAAAATATACTATGCTGCCACATTTCTCTCGAAAAAATTCTTATGAGTTGATTTGAAGAGAAATTGGCATTAGATATCAATTTTAGGTGAATCAAATCATAAAAAGAGAGAAAAAAATCGAAAGATAAAAAAAGGGAACACTTCAATACTTGGAAACAAAGCTTCTGGAGATCTTGATCCATTTACAATCCTCAATCTGAGGATTAGGTAATTTCTTTAACATTTTTTGTTTTTTTTTATATATATTTTTTTGTGTGTTTTTACATATATTTGTGGTTTTAGTAATTTAAGCTTCTTTTAATTGTATTCTACTCATATTTGGCCATTTTATATGTCCTTAAATCACATGTAAACAAGAAATGATGTAAAAAAATCACTTAAAAATGAATTCTGGGTAAAAATCACGCAACTGGGTAAAAATCACGCAACTGTTCATCCATGAACAGTTACTGTTCATCCAGATTTTTCTAGAAATAATAAGAAATATATAAATTTTGTTGTTCATAGATGAACAGTAACTGTTTGTTCAATGAACTGTAACTGTTTGTTCAATGTACAGTAACTGTTTGTTCAATGAACGGTAACTTTTCATCCAGATTTTTCCAGAAATGACAAAAAAATATATAAATTTTGTACAAAAATAAAACCTAATTTCTTCAATAAATCTGAGAATGCTAATGCCCAAATATGAACAGATCACAGTTTAATTAAACTTAAAATACTAAAATGTAATTTTATGTGTTTATTTACATGAATTTTACAATTTATATTTAAATAAAAAATGAAATTAAATTTGTAGATTTATTAATAGTCTGCAGATTTAGACAAAAAAATAATTATAATGTTTAGGATTAAATTTGTTGATTTATTTATGTTTAAGATTAATTTACATGTTTATTAATAATAATTTACATTTTTAGTGTTAAATAATAAATATGTATGATTTTGGGTTTTTGGGTTTATATGTTCAAATCGGGTAGAATGTATTTTAGATTCGGTTTGTTACCCGTCTTGAACCATAAGGCAAGAGCGGGTCATTTATTTATTCCATTTAATATTTTTTGACTCGGTTTGTCACCCGCCTTGAACCATAAGGCAAAGAGCGGGTCCTTTTTATCTTTTATTTGCTTGATTTAATTGCTTTGATTTGAATGGTTATTATGTGATAATTAGATTTGATTGGGACGATTGAATAATTTTCCATATAAGAACTCGATTCATTTGGGTGGGGTTTAAGCAAATAAATAATTTGGCTTTTCTAACTAAAATACATTAGAAATCATAGGTTAATAGAGGCCGATTTTCCAGGCGTCAGCTTCCAATGGGCCGGCGTACCCAATTCCATTACCCAGAATCGCATTGTGCACCAGACCAATCTTTTAATATTTTGGCCTTAAACAAAATTGGGTTTAAAATGGAGTCATTTTTCA